AACACTAATCAACCCGCCTAACATCACGAAGACTAATCTCTCTCTCTCTCTCTCTCTCTCTCTCTCTCTCTCTCTCTCTCTCTCTGTGCACCTAATCAACCCGCCTCACGCCACGAAGAGTAAGCATGACAGACAGAGACAAGACAAGCGTTCCGGAAGCACACACACACTGTCTCTCATGCAGCCTTCTTTCTTGCGCCACCCCCCCTACGATTCGGTGCCGGTGCCTTTCTCTTCTTCGCGCCTGCTCCCCGRCCTTCCCTCTCAGCCTGTCTGGYGTCCATCCGTCGCTGCCTGTCCTCAGACCTCGCCCTCTCGTCCAATATCCCCTGATATTTCTCCACCCAGCGAGGCTTCGTCAACCTATCCACCAGTCTCATATCCCTCACCTGGATGGTCACCCTCTTCGAGTGGATCGCCACTTCGTTTGTGTTCTCGAAGTTGGCGACCAGGTAAGCCTCCGCAGCCTCCATTAAAGCACGCACGACCATCATCTGGAACCTCACGGCCTGAACAAGGGAAATGTCCTTCTCCATCACCTCGCGGACGAGGCGCAAGAAGGGCATGAAAGGGATACAAAGGTCGGTGGATCGCTGCAGCCTCCTGATCTCTGTCAGAGCTGCCATCCCGGGGTGTCTGCGGCGTCTCTGGACCCGGCGAGGCGCATCTGCATTGCCACCGGTCTGTGGCTCARGCTGGGGGTTCTTCTTTCGCTTGTCACCAGCCGGCTTCCCCCTCTGTGGCCTCGACACAACCCCCTTCACCTTCCTCGGGCTGTGGGACATCGCAGTGTTGCTGGGCCCGACCACGTCAGCCTGCGCTGCAGAGCACCCTGCAACTCGCTCACTGCCACGTGGGCCCTCCACCTCAACAGACAAACCACCCTGATGCCCCAGGCGCGTCTCCTCCGTCTGTCCCGGCCTCTGAAGTCCACCTCGGGTGTCCTCGTGCACCATATACCGAATGTCTCGCAGGAGGCCATCCGAGTACGTCAGCAGAAACGACAAACCAAGCGGGTCCTTGAACCTAATCGTCATCTCTCCACCTTGCTCGTATGTCAGGCGACATACGGGCGGGACCCAACCAACATGGGCGGAGCATCCATGCCTGCGGCGGATGTGAGCCATGTACATGTTCTCCCCATCGCCCTGCCCTTGCCCACCAGGACTCCCCTCAACCATTGACCACATCCCCTGCTCTGGCATGGAGTCGTAACCCATGTACACCATCTGACGGTCTTCCTCCCTTATCTTCTCCCAGCACCGCTTTGCATGCTCCACAACCAGAACGTGCTCCTTCACATCTGCATTGAAAATGGACACACGTGCTAGTACCACCAGGAACTGCCACTGCTCCACCATGCCTGCATGCATCCACCCCAAGGGCAGCCAATGGCCTGTCTGCAGTTTGGCCGCCATGGTCACCTTGCCATCAACTGTTGCAGGATGCAGACATCCTGGCAGCCAATTCACACGATATCCATACTTCTGAGGGGCCACATGGTGCTGCAACTGCCCCTTAGGGATGACATGGGCCGTAATGTCCAGGGTAGCCAGAACGTCAGGCTTCAGGTTGGGCGGGTTCCATACCAGCGGGGACAATCCATCAGCAGTAGCTTCCTCCCCTCTGGCATGCGTGTATGTGTACCCCTGCTTACCCGCGAACACTTTCCCCTCTACCACCTCGAGCTCCACAGGGTTCCGAAGAGGCAGCGAACAACAACGAGCAGCAGCGGATGCACAAGCCATCGTCATCTTCTCCTCTTCACTCACCTCCCTGTTCAGGTGTCTGGACACGAAGCTGCCGTTTATGTAACACACGGTCCATACATTGCCCATGGCGTCACGCATGGGCATCCTCACACGGCCACAAAGAAGGGCGGCGTCATGTGGCACCCAACCCCACCGTGGATCCCTCCTGGCATCAGTCTCTGCACAAACTGAGCCCGCTGCAGTGTCCAACCCGCCAATCACCCATGACTCTCCGCAGTCGACACTGTCGTACTTAAAATCATTCAGCCTCAAATCGCCCTTCGCGTCCAGAACACGCCATAGTTTCAACAAATAGCGTGATTTCTCACGAGGGGTCGCCGCATCGTTCAACCTCAGCACTCTGTCGAAGATGATTGACAGAGTCACGCACCTCCACGACGCCTTTGTGGGGGCGGGATATGGAACCCATTCCCCATTCACTTTGAACGCAAAGCACGGCATTCCTCCAACGGTACCCGGTTGAAGATGACCAGGCACCCAATTGACGTCATACGGGAAGTGTCCTCCTGCTCTCGTCCTCTCAACATTCTCGTATGGAACAAGACACTCTGCACCATCATCGCTCGTCTCGCCATCCGTGCTCAAGTCTGCAGCCTGCGCACAAATTCCCGCAAGGGCCACTGCACAATCCGTGGTGTTTGCTCCGGCCGATATCCCTTCGTTGCCGATACCTGCAATACCCTTCACCGTGTCCTGAGTCTCCATCGCGCATGTCTCCACGCCGTTGACATTCGATTGAATGGCAGGCTCCATCTATTGCATGACACATCACAAACATTTAAGAGAAGCCTTGGCAGCGACGTGACCCCCTCACCACAGAGAGAGAGAGAGAGAGAGAGAGAGAGAGAGAGAGAGAGAGAGA